GCATTACTTCGTTAGCAGGTCGGCAGCCATCTTAGACTATGGTAGGCCACGAGGCCGAAGCAGGCGTAGCGGATACCCTGCAGGCGAGGGAAGCTGATGCGAGGAGACGCCACGCAGATGGCGAGTTTGGGACGGTCCAACCTTTGGAGGTGATCCTCTTGGGCATGCGTACCCAGTGGGCAGCGGAACACCCTTCCCGACCTGCCTCTCCTCGACCGGTGCTCAACGAAGGCGGCTCGACGAGGAAGTCGGTGGCGGTGACCAAGTCGGCAGTGCAGGAGGCACGCGGACGCCGAGAGGATCGATCAAGTCTGCCAACGTCGGCATCGGCGGGATGCAGACGAGAGGATCGCGGTCGACGGCAAAAACAGGCAGCTCGCTCGGCGACGTCGGTGGACGGCGTCGCTCTCCCCAGCGATGTGGAGTCGGGCCGACGTCGGTGACCCACATGTCGGCTGGGCAGGACGGAGGGACTGCACCTACGTACGGCTACTGAAAGTTTGACATGACCTGCTCAACTGGACGGAGTCAATTGAGCCCCAACTAAAAATCGTCGGGCTCAAGAAGTTTGTCGAAGGCGGCGTGTTGGTGCCGGACGAGGAGGACGCCGAGCTTTGGTCGGAGTTCCGCGTCGCTCATCCGCTGACCTTCATGGTCATCTCGCGGTGCTGCTCGCCAATGGTGCAAGTCGCCCTGAAGTCGTGCCGACTTCTGGTGGACGTTGGCCACCAAGTGTGGCAGTTCATAATGACAATGTACAAGTCCACCGAAATGTACATCGGCCAAATGGAGGAAAAGTTGACCCACGTCAGGATGGGCGAGCGAGAGTCGGCGACCGAGTGCTGGGTGACATGAGGATGGCCGGCGCCGACTAGTCGACGGCGTCCTATATCACGCACGTCGTCAAGGGCCTCCTGAGCGGCTACAACCCGATGCACCGGATGTTGGTGATGGCCGGCGTGTGTGAGTCATTTGACGAGGACACCCTCACCAGCCACATCATCAAGGATGAGGCGATGCAAGAGGCGGAACGGCCCACAGAGCTCCTTCCGCCGCCGAACTACGTCGTCTTGACGAAGCCGGGAAGTCTGCAACGGCAGCGAGGGAAGCCGGGCGGAGGTGATAGCGGAGGTGGGAAGTGGCCGAAGGACGCCGACAAGACGAAGTCGGCCCAGGATGGTGGTCGAGGAGGTGGTGGTCGACGGCGAGAATGCTGGGTCTGTGGCGACCCGACCACCTTTCCTTCGAGTGTCCCGACCGCGAAGAGTCCGACGACGACGACAAGGGTGATCGCGGAAGGTCGGCGGGTCGTCGTCCACGTGGGGAGAGCAAGCCGCGCAAGGGGACGCAGTCGACAACGTCGGAGAAGGACGCCGACTCCTCCTCTCGCGGTAAGGGGCAAGGCGACGGGGAGATGTCATGCTCGTTGGTCGGCGTCGTGGAGCTGACCGTCTCGCTAGCGCTGGAGGCCGGCGATGACTTCAAGGCGGTGGCGGCCGCCGTGCAGGCGAACCCGGCGGTGGTTCCGCTCAACAGCGGCTGCTCACACCACCTGATGGAGACGAAGGAGGCCTTCGTCGACCTAGGTCCGAGCAGCGACGTGAAGCCATGCGTGGATTCAATGGGGCGCTACAGACTATCCAAGGCCGCGGCACAGTCGCCTTGCAAGGGGACACAAGGAAGCAGGTCCCCATCCCTGACGTAAGCTACGTCCCGGTCGTGCAGGCGAACCTGCTATCGGCCGGCCAGCTGAAGGACAGCGGCGTGCGACTGCAGGATGACAGCGACGAGATGCTGCTCGTCTCGGTGGCGGGGGACGTGCTTGGTCTGGCAAAGTACACCGGCCGGGTCCTCTGCACCGACTTCCGCCCTTGCACGACGAAGCCGACGGCGGCCATGACGGAGGCGGTGGCCCTACGAAGGATTGCCTCGGTGACGAAGTCGACGCCGGACAGGTGGTACGCGAGGCTCGCGCACATTGGCGTCGACACCATCATGAGCTCAGCGAAGCACGAAGTCGCCACTGGCCTAGACATCAAGCCGTCAACCGGGGCCAACTTGCCGTGCGTCTTCTGCGTCGACGGGAAGTTGGCGCGGCACACTTCCTCGACAAGGGCTCGGACACCGACGAGGCCCTGGCCGTCGTGCACATCGATCTGTGCGGGCCGTTCCGGGTGGCCGCCAAGGATGGCAGCCTGCACTTCTTGCTGCCGAAGGACCGCAAGACCCGCTTCGTGTGGGTGAAGTCGGTCGCCAAGAAGTCTTACGTGCTGCGGGAGTTTGAGGAGGTCCAGGTCGACCAGCCTGGACCACGGCGTTCAGGCCGACTTCGGAGGCCACTGGAGCGGCTGAGCTACCATGCCTGTGTGCCGCGGGCCGCCTTCACCACGCTGCACGACGACGCTGAGGCCGAGGTCCACGCTGCCACCAACGTGGACGCCGACCCGGAGCACCGCTGGGACATCACCAACATGACGGTGAAGGAGGCGTTGGCGAGCTGGAAGAGCAAGGTGGTGAAGGCCGCCATGGACGAGGAAATACGCAGTCTCGTTCTAATGGCACTTGGGAGCTTGTCGAGCGTCCGCGCGGGGTGAACATTATGAAGAATCGGTGGGTGCTGATGACGAAGTACCACGTCGACGACTCGGTCGCTTGGGAGAAGGCGAGGCTGGTTGTGAAAGGCTTCACACAGGTGCACGGCGCCGACTACGACGAGACGTATGCGACGGTCGGGAGCTACCGTCATCGCCCGGATATAAGACATATATGTCTTATCTCGTACACTAGGAAAAATGCTTGGGTTATCTTGTATCTGGGGAGGTTCTGGGTGTCTTATAAGTCTTATAAATGGACAAAGAACCGTTTAGAAGAAACCCCCTCGTTATACAATTGCCCCTAACCCTTACACTGGCTTAACTCGTACACACAAATAGGTGTCTTATAATGAGGCTAGCCTGTTTATAAGAGACAGCCGGATAATAGACAACCCCTGTCTACTATTCAACACTGTCTACTATCCGGGCGATGACGGTACGTCATGCTGAGGATCTTCCTCAGCATCCTCGCCGTCTTCGACTTGCACCTGATGCAGCTCGACATGAAAGAACGCCTTCCTGCAAAGCAAGCTCGACCGGGTGTTGTTCATGTACCAGCTGGACTACTACGACGACGGGACCGGTCGGGTGTGCAAGCTGCTGAAGAGCCTGTACGGGCTGAAGCAGTCGCTGCTGCTGAAGAGCCTGTTGGCTCTCGACGCCGTCCTGACCGGCGTCGACTGGTAAAAGAGCCAATTCGACGAGGCGTTGTACTTCAATGTCGGTGACGACGGAGTGACCTGCTGGGTGCTGGTCTACGTGGACGACCTGCTCGCCGCCAGCAGCAGCACCACGATGCTAAAGGAGTTGCTGGAGGCCGCCTTCGAGCTGCGCGAAATCAACCCGGTCGAGAAGTACCTCGGGCTGGAATCGTGCGCGACAGGCCGACGAGAAAGCTGTGGCTCCGCCCCAAGACCTTCATGGACAAGCTGCGTCGACGCTTCATCGACGAGGAGCAGGGCGGGCGGATCCCCCGTCATCGCCTATGGCGAGCTGAAGTTTGACAACGAGGACGCTTAGTCACGCGAGGAGGAAGAGTACCGGCATAAGGTCGTGCGCGCAGCGGCGGCTACTGTGCGCGCGGCGGCGGCTACTGTGCGCGCGGCGGCGGCTGCTGCGCGCAGGATGCGGGACGGGGCGGGACATGGTGCACAGCAGCGCGCGGGGGCGGCTACTGAGCGCGCGGCATGCAGATGCTGCTGTGCACACGTTCGTGCGTTACGGGGCGCGTTGCGAAGCGGGTTACGGGGAATGTGACGGGGCACGTTACGTGGCTCGTTACGAGGCACGTAGCTAGGCTAGAATGTGATCTAGAGCTGATACCATCTCAGTTACTATCTTAGAGTAGGGAGAATGGTGATGGTCGACTCGTATGGGTTGGGTACAAGTGTCGAGAGAATCATGTACCCCTGACTGTGAACCTAATTGTAGCCTAGAATTCTAACAGACATCTAAACAACATTTGACACATACCATGTAGCACTACAAATGGGGGATACGAGGGGGTAGGGAGGGGGGGAGAAGGATGGAGCGCTGAACCCACATGCTCGCGTACCGGCAGATGTCAATGAATAATTTAATGAGAACGTACAGGAGCCGAGGATGAGTACCCGTGACAGTAGGACAGCCCTCCTTGGTGTGAGCCCATGCGGCCCTCTGAAAACTCTACCAGACAGAATTTGTCGCTCACTGCCCTCCTTGATCAATGTTGAATGGGCGTCACAGCCACACACCACATCCCCATGTCAACCACATGTCCGCATCCCCAGCGTCTACCCCCTCAGGGGTATTCAGTGCCAGTGCCTCGACATTGATCATCTCCTTTTTACTCCCACTTGATACAGGAACCGCCCCTCCTAGCCAATGGTGTGCATCGCGTTGACTCACAACCACTGCAATCATCAACAGCAGCACCGCCCTAAACCGCCACCGTCATCACCACCAGCACCACCAGCACCCCTATCATCATCTCATGTCAGCATCCCCATCGCCATCCACCCCCTCCCCATCCTCCACAGGAGCATTCAGTGCCAGCGCCTCGGCATAAATCATCTCCCTTATAATCTCATCCGATAAAAACGGCCCCTCAAAGTCAAAGTGAAACGGCTCGTCACACGCCGGCTCGTCGTTTATGTCGTGGAGTGTGGCGAGGTACGGGTGACAGAGTGCCTCCTCCACTGGTGGGAATGGACAGGGAACAGAGGGAAGAAGGCAGGAAAGAATTTGAGGAGAGAGGGCTTGGGGGCAGGCAGAGGCTTGTAACACGCCGGCTCGTCGTTGATGTCGTGCATCGTGGCGAGGTAGGGATGGCACAGTGCCTCCTCCACTAAGAGAATAGGGCAGGTAAAGGAGGGAAGGAAGCAGGATACATACAGAAAGCAGGAAAGCCTTAGAGGAAGGGAACGGCTAGTCACACGTCGGCTCGTCGTTGCTGCCGTGCAGTGTTGCGAGGTAAGGGTGACACAATGCTTCTTCCACTGGGGGAGTGGCAGGGAAGGCGGGGAAAGAAGCATGAAAGAATTGGAGGAAGTGGAAGGGCTCGTCACACGCTGGCTCGTCGTTTATGTCGTGTAGTGTGGCGAGGTACGGATGGCACAGTGCCTCTTCCACTGGGGGGAAGGGAGATGGGCAAGGGGAAAGAAGGCAGGAGCCGTTTAGAGGAATGGAACGGCTCGGCACATGCCGGCTCGTCGTTGATGCCGTGCAGTGTGGCTAGATGGGGGTGGCACAGTGCCTCTTCCACTGAAGGAATGGGAATCTGAGGGAGGGGGGAAGGAGGCTTAGTGGAGGGCAAGGGCTCATTGCATGCCGGCTCGTCGTTTATGTTATGGAGAGCGGTGAGATAGGGATGGCACAGTGCCTCCTCCACTGGAAGAAGAGCGATGGGGAAGGAGGGAAGGCGGGAGATGGTTAGAGGAAGGGAATGGCTCAAGGCTTCACGCACGCACATGTGTCTTAGCAGCCCAGCTCGTCCACTCTCACCTGTGACATGCATCAGCAGCCCACACAGCCCCCACCCCCACCTGTGATGCGCTTGAGGGGGTTAACGTGAGGGTAGCGCTTGAGCAACCCTCACCTGCGATTCTCGACGTCGAATCGATTGCCACAGCAGGTAACTATGGGTAGTGCTGTGATGAGCGAGGGGCTGCTTGGGGTAGAGGGGCGGCGAGCGAAGAGTGTATCAAGGCTACACATGCACGCACATGCGCCTGCCTTAGAACCTAGCCCAGCCCCCACAGCCCTCACCTGTGATGCGCTTGAGCGGGTCCAACATTGAATCGATGTCCTGGGCGGGAGGCTGCTTGGGGTAGAAAGGCAGCAAGCAAACAGTGTCAAAACAGCCCGCCCTGCCCATTCTCACCTGGGATGCGCTCGAGAGGATCGAATGTGAGCATCCCCGACATGCGGTCGATCACACCAGGCGGTAGGTGCGGGTAGCGCTGTGCAAGGGGCAGCTTGGGATAGAAGGGCAGCAAGCGAAGAGTGTCTCACCAGCCCACCCTGCCCTTCCTCACGTGAGATACACGTCACGGCTTCACAAGCACGCACATGTGCCCTAGCAGCCACCCTTCCTCACCTGTGATGCGTTTAAGAGGATCGAACGTGAGCATTCTCGACATCAAATCGATGGCTACAGGCGGAAGGTGCGGGTAGCGTTGCGCGAGAGGCTGCTTGGGGTAGAAAGGCAGCGAGCGGATGTAGCGCCGTGCGTTGTCTGATTGGAGGAACTCAATGTCTGACTCGTCTGGGGAACCCAGAGACTGCAAGGGAGGGTGGAGGGGAGATGGAAAGGGTGGAGGGAAATGGACAGGGAGGGTGTGAAAGCAGGTCAAGGAGGAAGGGCAGCAGGCGGATGTAGCGCCGTGCGTTGTCTGATTGGAGAAACTCAATGTCTGACTCGTCTGGGGAACCCAGGGACTGGGGAGGAGGGTTGGGGAGTGGGAGACGCGTAGGGGGGGGGGACAAGATGACGAGGTTACGGCATAGGTAACCCGTACACCTTACCTTAATAGCATTGTAACTTTCAACACAATTAACTCACCTTAGTGATCAGACTAAGCTGTTCCACATAGTCCTTTCCCGAGAACAGCGTGACTTGACATGGTAACACCGTAACAGAACACAAACTAACTCACCTTGGTGATCAGCCTGAGCTGCTCCACATAGTCCTTCCCCGGAAACAGCGGCTCGCGATTCAGCAGCTCCATGAAAATGCATCCCACCGACCACACGTCGATGGCTGCTGTGTACGTCTGGCGTTTGGGTAAAAGAGCGGGTTGAGAGCGGTTCAGAGTGGTTACATTGCAGTTACAGACAAACAGCTCCATGAAAATGCATCCTACTGACCACACGTCGACGGCTGCTGTGTACGTCTGGTGTTTGGGGAGAGGAGGGGGTTGAGAGGAGTTTGAAGCGGTTGTGGTGTTGGCCCCTAACATCAGCGATTCAGCAGCTCCATGAAGATGCATCCCACCGACCACACATCAACGGTTCAAAGACAGGGAGGGACAATGACAGGGAGGGTGCGTCTGGTAGGGAGGGACAGTGACAGGGGTTGAGAGCGGTTCAAAGCGGTTACGGCTAGGGACACGAACAAGTCACTTCAGCAGCTCCATGAAGATCCACCCCACCGACCACACATCGATCGTTGCTGTGTACGTCTGATGATGAGGGGGGGGAGGGGGTTGAGAGCGGTTCAAAGCGGTTGTGGTGTTGGCCCTCTGACATCGGCGATTCAGCAGCTCCATGAAAATGCATCCCACCGACCACACGTCAACGGCGGCTGTGTACGTCTGGGGGCAATGATAGGGATTGAGAGCGGTTCAAAGAGGTTGCAGATGTAACAAGTCGTTCAGGATAACATTCGATTCAGCAGCTCCATGAAGATGCACCCCAGACCACACGTCAATGGCCTCTGTATATGTCTGACGGGAAGAATGATAGGGGTTGGGAGCGGTTTAAAGCGGTTGTGATGTTGGCCCCTAACATCGCCGATTCAGCAGCTGCATTTGGACAAGATACTAGACTACTCCAGCAAGACAGTAGCTTAGGGAAAATTCTTCAGCACTACAGCAGAAAGAAGGTTAAAGTGGGTGCGACCGAACGGAAGAAGATTCAAGACAACTCAGAACCCAGCTCACAGGGCACACGTCATTGGCTGTTGAGCATACTCTATGTTGCACTATACGCGATTCGCGTATCAGTCGCGTTCGACTTATACGCTTACGTACGAACGTGAGACGGGGGATTTCCGCCCCAGGATACGCTCCAAATACGTTCGCCCGGGCAGGGGAAAAAAAGTTCCGGGCAGGGGAAAAAAGTGCCAGGGAGTGAGTGATGGTCCCTATATTCAATGTTTCTTGCCGATCTGCGTCGATCTGCTGGCGGAATACTAGAATCGCGCGGATCTGCTGGCGGAATACTAGAATCGCGCGGATCTGGCGGCGGAATGCCAGATCTGCGCCCCTCTGCCTACTTGCGTCCAGCTGCGACATTAGCGGTCGACATAGGTTTTCGAAGCTGACGACGTGAAAGCCAAAGTGTGGTTGGAAGGAAAGGGTTGGGTTTGGGAGGTGGTGTGAGGTTATGTGCGGTGGAAGGGGGGGGTGGGTGCGGGGGAAGGCATTCGACTTTCAGATGTCAAAATTAGGTTACGGAGAATCACAGATCGCGAGAACGGTCGCAACATTTTTTTTTCGACGGGCTGCCCGTCCAGGCGTATCGCGTATTTGTCCCCGTATCACGTTTTTCCGTTTATACGTGAACGCATAAACGTGATACGAAAAAAGCCCTCAGCGTATAGTGCAACATAGAGCATACTTTCATCAATTTTGACAATCTCTAGAGTAATCTGGAGACCACTACTGCTGACTTGGCAGCCAACCACTGCTGACCTAGCAGACTAGCGCCTGAAAGGCAACTGGTGCTGACCTGGCAGTTGAGCAGCAGCTCAGGAGCACGGTACCATCTGGTTACCACATACTCGGTGAGAAAGTGCGCTTCTTGCACGGACCTGCAGAGTGTGCGAGCAGGGGGAGAAGGGGAGAAGGGGGAAGGGGAGAATGGGAGAACGGGAGAAGGGGTGAAGGGGAAAAGGGGAGTAGGGGAGAAGGGGAGAAGGGGAGAAGGGGAGAAGGAGAGAAGGGGAGAAGGGGAGAAGGGGAGAAGGGGAGAAGGGGAGAAGGAGGAGATGGGTGAACAAGTGTGGCCTTCTGGTGAGGAAGTGAGCATAGGCCTCCAGAGTGTGCGAGATTAAGGGAACGAGAAGAAGTCGGCGAATACTTGAGATCGTACCATCTGGTTACCACTTACGCAATCACCAATTCGCAAACATGCCGCTACCCCTCCCTCCCTCCCCACACCTTCACACACACACACACACACACACACACACACCTCGCCTGACCAAAGTCGCTTGTCTTGAGGTCACAGTTTGTAGTGAGCAATAGGTGGGTTGAGCAATAGGTGGGTTGAGCAATAGGTGGGTTGAGCAATAGGTGGGTTGAGCAATAGGTGGGTTGAGCAATAGGTGGGTTGAGCAATAGGTGGGTTGAGCAATAGGTGGGTTGAGCAATAGGTGGGTTGAGCAATAGGTGGGTTGAGCAATAGGTGGGTTGAGCAATAGGTGGGTTAAAAGGCTTTGAAATGAGGCATGCAGTCCCCCCCCCCACTCGACCCCGTTTCCCCCCCACTCGACCCCTTCCCCTCCCCACTCGACCCCTTCCCCTACCCCAGACTCTCCATACTTCTAACACATGCGCACACACGCACCTCGCAAGGCCAAAGTCGCATATCTTGAGGTCGCAGTTTGCACTGAGGAGCAGGTTGGAGGGCTTTAAGTCGCGATGCAGCACACTGGCGCTGTGGATGTATTTTAACCCGCGCAATAGCTGGTACAGGAAGTACTGTTGGAGGTGGAAGGGGCGGAGGAGGGAGGGGGGTGGTGTGGGGGGGAAGGAGAGCAGACACGGGCTTTAAGTCCCGATGCGGCACCCTTGCGCTGTGGATGTACTTCAACCCTCGCAATAGCTGGTAGAGGAAATACTGTTGGTGGGGGGGGGTGAGGGGGGGGGGAAGAAGGACGTAAGAGGGGGGAGGGAGAGGAGCAGCAGGTTGGAGGGCTGTAAGCCATGTTAATGCAGCGCGCTGGCGCTGTGGATGTGCCTTAACCCGCGCAATAGCTGGTCGAGGAAATACTGCCAAAGGAGGGGAAGCGGATGGTGCAGGGAGAGGGGGAGCAAAAGGTTGGAGGGGGTTGAATGACGCACCATCCGCATCCGTCAATGGATGCCGTTGAGAATCCACAGCGCCAGCGTACCATCCGCATATCCCCGCAATCCGTCAAGGGATGCGGTTGAGAATCACGTTAAGGAAGCACACTGGCGCTGTGGATGTACCTAGTATATGACAGCAGCATTTGTCCGGACTGAATGATACCTAGTATACACACTGAATGATCTGATGCATGTCCGTGCCCATCAGCTCACACCCCTGCATGGTGTATGATGCATCCCTGGACACGCAACCACCCACCCACCCACCCACCCACCCACCTGCCATATGCTCTTCCAATGGCATGTCCGTCATCTTGTTCACCACATAGATGCGGTTGAGAACCCGATCAAGCTCAGAAGACATACACCCCCTGCGCCCTCCAGCTACCCCTTACCCAGGGCATGATGCACCCACGCACACACCTGCCAGTGCTCCTCTGGCAGCATTTGTCCGGATTGGATGATCTGATGCAAGTCCGTGTCCATCAGCTCATACACCACGTGCACGGTGTGTGTATGATGCCCCCCCATCAACCCCCAAAAACACGCACCTGGCAGTGCTCCTCAGACAGTATCTGTCCCCCGACTGAATGATCTGATGCAACAAGTCTGTGTCCATCAGCTCGTACACCACATGCACCCCAAGAGCTCGCATACAGCACATGCACATGCAGAGAGCACGTTGCACATCCTGAGGGAAACACACACCTGGCAGTGCTCCTCCGATAGTATTTGCCCCGACTGGATGATCTGATGCAAGTCCGTGTCCATCAGCTCATACACCACATACACATCGTTGAAGCTCGAGCGGTCAGGCGGAGGGATTACGTCTCTCAGTGCGACCACCTATAAGGGGGATGGATGGATGAATGGGAGGGTGGATGGGTGGCAAGTGGGAGGGTGGGTGAGCGGATGGATGGATGGATGGATGGATGGATGGATGGACGGACGGACGGACGGACGGACGGACGGACGGACGGACGGACGGACGGACGGACGGACGGACGGACGGACGGACGGACGGACGGACGGACGGACGGACGGACGGACGGACGGACGGACGGACGGACGGACGGACGGACGGACGGACGGACGGATGGATGGATGGATGGATGGATGGATGGATGGATGGATGGATGGATGGATGGATGGAAGGATGGAAGAGACTGAAGTGCACGGGGAATTAACATTACAAGAGCTAAACGCATGTGACTACGCTCGTGTTTCAGAGATCTAAGCCAAAGGGATCTAAGTCACTCACATGCTCATTCTCTCACTGCTTCACTCACATTCTCATGGTCGAAGTGCCAAGGCAGCTTGATCTCTCGCAGCGTGCGTTTGGTGATGATGCGGTTAAGGCACGCCCTCATGTTGCATGAACTGAAGCTAAAGGAGTCAAACTGCTTCACTCACGTTCTCGTGGTCGAAGTGCCGCAACAGCTTGATCTCTCTGAGGGTGCGCTTGGCATCGATGCGATTGTCAAACGCGTTTGAGATCTTCTTGATCGCCACCTCCTCCTCCGTCTCTATGTCCACTGCGGAGCTGCACAAGTGAGCAAGAATGCGTGGTGTTGATGGGTGTGTGTGGATGAATGTGGATGGGTGTGGATGAGCGTTCATCATGTCAAACGCATTTGAGATCTTCTTGATCGCCACCTCCTCCTCCGCCTCTATGTCCACTGCGGAGCTGCAGGCATGGAGGGATGGGTGTGAGGGGCATGGAGGGGTGTGGATGGGTGCAAAAGGGTGCTCGTCACATCAAATACGTTCGAGGTCTTCTTGATCGACACGTCCTCCTCTGTCTCTATGTCCACAGCGGAGCTGCACGGGTGCAGTGGGTGGAGGGGTTTAGATGGGTGTGGAGGGGTGTGGATGGGTGCGGAAGGGTGTTCATCATGTCAAAGGCGTTGGATATCTTCTTGATCGCCACCTTCTCCTCCGTCTCTGGGTCCACTGCTGAGCTGCAGTCACGGAGGGATAAGTGAGGAGGGGTATGGATGGGTGTGGATGGGTGTTCATGGGTATTCATCAAGTCAAACGCGTTCGAGATCTTCTTAATCGCCGCCTCTCCGCCTGCATGTCCACTGCTGAGCTGTGTGTGTGAATAGATGCGAATGGGTATCGGTGGGTGTGAACGGGTCTGAATTGGTGTGAATGGGTGCATTAGACTACCCCCACTCACCACACAATGCCATACGCCCCGCGTCCAATCGGTCGAATGGGCTTCACGTATTTAGCCGACACCTCAAAGATATGCGCGCAGATGTCGTATCCACAAATGGAGAGGAATGGGTGCCGATGGGTGTGAATGGGTGTGACCTTGCTCCCCACTCACCACACAATGCCGTATGCCCCGCGTCCAATGGGCCGAATGGGCTTCACGTATTTAGCCGACACTTCAAAGATATGCCCGCAGATGCCGTATCCACAGATGGAAAAGGATAGGTGCGGATGAGTGTGAATAGGCGCGAATGGGTGTGAATGAACACATAAAAACACCCCCCATCCTCCCCACTCCCCACTCACCACACAATGCCGTACGCTCCGCGGCCAATGGGCCGAATGGGCTTCACGAATTTTGAAGACACCTCAAAGATATGCCCGCAATGTCGAATCCACAAAAAGAGAGGAATGGGTGCGGATGGGTTGAATGGGCGCATTCGACACCCCTCACTCCTCCCCACACTCACCACACGATGCCGTACGCCCCACGTCCAATGGGTCGAATGGGCTTCACGTATTTAGCCGACACCTCAAAGATATGCCCACAGATGTCGTATCGCGTGTAGGCGCCCCCATACGTCGGCACCCCCACCACCTCCAGCTCATACTGCTGCGCCATTAATGCTGGGGCCGCGCCCCATGCCGCGGCGCCAAGTGGCGTGTGGAGATTGGTCGCTGTGGCCACGTCCATGGCTGCTGTGCTGACGTGGCAAGGAGTGGGACGGGGTGGGATGGCAGAAGGTGTGAGTCACATAGGTAGAGGTGGCAAGGAATATGGCTGGTGTGCTGGACAGAGGTCGAGTGGCCTTTGAGTCGACTCGAAAGGCAAGGATGGCATGGAATGGCATAGATTGGCATGGATTGGCATAGATTGGCATGGAATGGCATGGATTGGCATGGAATGGCGTGGGATGGCGTGGGATGGCCAAAATTTTGATCATATGTGTAGGCATGGCACTCCCCTCAACTGGAGTGAGAACATGGAGCGGCATGACAAGATGTTGTTTGTGTGATGTGATTATTGGCAGACGTGATTTTCTGTGCCTTGACTGAAGCCATGGCTATCCCTTTACCATTTCCTCACCCAAACGGTATTCCATGCCATGGCATGGATTGACATGGCATGCTGTAGGCCATGCCATGGCATGCCATACCGCTCTCTTGGCGTGGCTTGACCACACCACACCACCACACCACACCACACCCCCCTGCACCACACCACACCACACTTACCATACCATACCACATACCATCCCATACCATACCATACCATACCTTATCATGCTAAATCCATGTCTTCTACCCACATACCCACAAGCATCTTGTACCTTTACCGAGTGTTTGCAGGAGATACAAGCGCGATCGAATCTAGACCGCCGCGAAGGAGCGGATTACGCGCCCAAACTCGCCGCCCATGGCGCCGCAATTAACGGGGAAATACTTCAAGCGGTTTGACCCATGGGGATTCCAATCCGCTTGAAGGCTCGTGAAGACCAACGGAGAGGGATGCGGAGCAACCGCTGTTTGCTCTGAGACGCGCAAACGGGTGAGCAGAAGGGACGCGCGCAAACGAGTGGCGGATGGGACGCGCGGAGGCCGTGGAGGCGAAGCGGCGGGCGGAAGGGGCGGGCGGAAGGGACGCGCGGAAGGGCCGTGCGGAAGGGGCGTGCGCCCTATGCCCAAACAGGCCGTGCGGAAGGGGCGTGCGAAAGGGTTGACGAGGATGAAAAGCGGCGACGGCTGAGAGGTGATGGACTCAATGATTGTGGGTGGTTACTCGTGGCTGTCGGGCAGAGAGGATTCACGACGCTTGCTCGTAAAAGGTAGAGGTCCAACTGCGTCTCGCCCGTCGATGTGAATGCAAGATCAAACTATCCGTGTATTTCTGCATGGAAATTTAGGGCAGTCTTAGGGTGCGTTACGTCGGACAACAATAGGCTGTTCGAACGCTCTAATTTTGGGGGTAAAGCAAGGTACAGTACGGTAAACAAAACTGACAATTCGTTTCATTGCGGTTGCTGCTCAAATTCGCCAGTTCGATTGGCCGAGGTGACGTGCCCCTACGCGGAAGGTAGGTAGCTGATGATGTTAGGGCGTATCTTTGGTTCCGGTCATGAGCACTGTTCATTCTACTGTTCGGGTCATGCGGAAAGTGCGCATGACCCGAAGTGGGCTGCCGAGCCGCGCGCGGCCCCAGCTTTGGGTCAATGTGCAGCAGTTGGGCGACTGACGTGCACGACCCACCCCCAACCAATCACCTGGTTGCACGATTCAAGTTAGACTGCCTTTTTTTTGGCGGTCGTCAGTCGAGTGCCACAATTTTGCAATGTACCGTATCCTACACCTCTGCACCCAACCACTAGGTAAATTGACCCCCAGTGACCCGTCAATGTGTCATAAATTTCCCGCGTCGCGCTCCCAACATTTGGGGATTCACGCCGACATTTTCTCACGAGTGGGGGTCGCAAATGAACTTTCGGACTGTTCTGGCATCCCTCCATTGGATGCGACTGTTGTTTGGGGCGTAATTTTGGCGCGAAAAGCCTCGCGCCAATTTGAGGGTCGCATGAGTGCCGAGAACCCAAAGTGGTGTTTTTCGTTGTTCCGGGCATCCGCAATTCGCGCATGCCCGGAACAGTGCTCATGACCCGAACCTGGATACGCCCTTAGAAACAGGACTGTGACAACATTCGAGGGATGGGAAGACTCGCGAAGTGGCCGAGAAGGGTAACCGGACACCTGAACGAGGAACTGTATAACTGTTGTTGACAAGGTAAAGTTAGCTCGCAAGTTGCGAAATCTGTATGCGAACAGCGGACGTGATTGTGGTCTTCGCAAGTGGCTGATTGGGCGTGTGGCGACGAGCCGCGAAACGGAAAAATCTGGCAGCAAACGGTTGGATAACCAGCCTGTTGCGGAAATTCCGCAGGACGCTTGCTGGAAGAAGGCAAGCAGACAATTTTGCCCACGGGCCCACTGTGATAAGTACAATTGATGCCCAACCAGTGCACGCGGATTTGCCTTGCGCCGGATGGAAACGCTGCACCCGAGGTTGTTTCCCCAGCCTGTTGCTCCCACGTTATAAGCGCGTCGCGTGGTTATCAACCAATAGTAACGAGCAGACCGAGGTCAAGCAGAAGAGACTGAAGTCAAATAAGGTAACAGATCTTGTTTATAAGCACCTGCGAATCCTTTTTAGCTAGCTGCGAATTGACGAAACTTATGCGAAATTCTCGTTACAGCTTATACGCCCCCTTCACAAGGCAACCGGGAGGGGCTCAAACAGGCATCAATTGTACGAGCGATGACGAAACACACAAACCAAACTGGATTGTAAAAGACTGCAACTGGGTAACGTTTTACTATATCATGTTAACGAAAATACACTAGAAAATGTAGAAGATTAACATTGCAGGTGATATTTAGGCAGCAACCTCTGAAAGCTGAGAACAAGAAGCCCCAAAAATAGAAGAAACACACAGGAAGAAAATCGGGTCAACTGCGGAGAAGATGCTAAGTAAAGCAAGAAATACTTAGGTAAACAGCGAAGCCAATACAAATGCGACGGTTGCAAGTGCAGGAAGTGATAAATAAGAGGGAGTGAGAAAGAGAGAGCTAGCGAAGGTCAGCGGGGAGAGGGGGAAGCAGGGGGGGGGAGAGGAGGCACGAGAGGTGGGGGCGGTGGGCAGGAGAGACGCCTAGAGGAACGGGAGTCAGTGAGAGCTTGGGCTACTGACATCGGCGGTGAATTGCCACAAGGGGGGAAGGCAGGGGAGGCAAAACGCCTGGAGGGATGGATGGTAAGCCGGGGGACTACTGACATCGGCGGTGAGTTGCGAGGCGAGGGCGTCATGGAAGCCGAGCTGGGCGAGCAGCTTGTGGCCGGCGGACTCCCGCTGCTCCCAGATGCCCAGCAGAATGAGCGCCGTTGAGATCTCCCCCATCCGGCCTGCTTGGTTGGAGCACGAAGGGGCGGCGGTGGTCGGGGGCATAGTGGGGACGGGGTCGGGGGGGGGGGGGGGAGGAATGGGGGAGTCTGATGAGAAGAGCTGCAAGGGGTTGGATGGCGAGCAGCTTGTGAGCCGGCAGACTCCCGCTGCTCCCAGATGCCCAGCAGGATGAGCGCCGTCGAGATCTCCCCCGTGCGACCTGGTGGGTTGCAGCACGGTGGTGGGCGGTGGTTGGGGGCATTCCAGAGATGGGGTTGGGGGGAATGTGGTGGGGAGTCTGATGAGAAGAGCTGGAAGAGCTTGAATGAAAGGTCCGGGCCTCTTTGCTTTGACACGTCTCGAAACAAGGTCGCTATCACGCAGCTGGGCGAACAGCTTGTGGCCGGCGGGCTCCCGCTGCTCCCAGATGCCCAGGAGAATGAGCGCCATTGAGATCTCCCCCGCCCGCCCTGCTTGCGCAAGATGAGGGGGATGGTTGCAGGTGTGGTTGGGCATGGCAGAGCGTGGTTTGTTGTGGGAGGAGGGGGGAGAGGCGAATGGGTTGGGAGACTGATGGTGTGGTTGGGGGCATGGCAGAGCGTGGTTTGTTGGGAGGAGAGGCGAATGGGTTGGGAGTCTGATGAGAGGAGAGGAGCTCCAGAGAAGCAGTCAGTGCCTCTTCTGTGCGAGAGTGAGTGTGGGGAGGCACGAAGCATTGAAGTCTGAGTGGACGATATCAACTGGCACGAAGCTGAACGAAGAAAAGCTTGACAACGGCCCACTGCACTGTAACGATCGCACGTTCGGTCAGGGGCAAATGCAGGAGAGGAGAAGGCACGGGGCAACCAGCAGGGAGACCAGGCAGGCAGGCGAGGCAGGGGAGACAAGAGACAAAGGCAGAAGACAGGAGATCACAGCATGTCACAGGGCGCAGCCCAATGCGCTGAGCTCCTTGTGCTTGGCGATGGCCCACTGCAGCGCGGCCACCACCGGCTCAGTGAGAAAGATACTCAGAAACCCACAGCCCAACGCACAGCCCAACGCACAGCCCAACGCACCCCAACGCACAGCCCAACAGAACGCACCGAGCTCCTTGTGCTTGGCGATGGCCCACTGCAGCGCAGCCAAGGCGGGCTCAGAGAGCGGGGGGTGCATGGCAAGGGAAGTTGCACGCGGCAAGGAATCCAGGCAAGCAAGTCACCACAAGGAGCAACCCAAGGCACAACCCAGCGCTCTGCCCAACACTCGGCCAAATGCACAGCACAATCCACAGCCCAACAGAACGCACCGAGCTCCTTGTGCTTGGCGATGGCCCACTGCAGCGCAGCCAGGGCGGGCTCAGTGAGCGGCGGGTGCTCGGCACTGAAGTAGTACATGTCGGCCTTGCCCAGCAGCTCCACCGTCCTCACCCGCAGGTCCATCAGCTTGATGCCGTTCGCCCGCATGAAGCGCGCGCCATAGTTGGTGCCTGGGGTGGGGGACGGTGGGAGCAGCAAGCAGGAGGTGAGGTGGGAGTGGGCAAGGGGAAGAAGGGATGTTCAGGGCTCAAGTAGTACATGTCGGCCTTGCCCAGCAGCTCCACCGTCCTCACCCGCAGGTCCATCAGCTTGATGCCGTTCGCCCGCATGAAGCGCGCGCCATAGTTGGTGCCTGGGGTGGGGGATGGTGGGAGCAGCAAGCAGGAGGTGAGGTGGGAGTGGGCAAGGGGAAGAAGGGATGTTCAGGGCTCAAGTAGTACATGTCGGCCTTGCCCAGCAGCTCC